CCCACTTGGCTTCTTCATCAGTGACGCTTGAGACCCATGGAAAGCTACCGCGTCCTGGCTCGAGGTGTTCCGTGTCCACGTCGTTTTGGCTGGTGAACCGGCCGAGAAGGAGATCGCGAAATAGAAGTGCACGCTTTCCTGGGTCCGAAACAAAACCGTCGGGAGTTTGAAGTGGTGGAGCAGCAGATGTAAGTCGCGGCTTTGCCCAGCGTGCCATCTGATACATGTCAACGTCAGTTGTGGCTTTGGGGAACTTCCGCCGCCAGTATTGGCGTTTCGCACTTCTGACTATGCGACGGAAATCCTTTCTACTCTCTTCGTCCCTGAATATCCTATATTCGCGTTTGGCCTGTGAGCATTCCAACGTCCACCAAGGTGCCGTCCTACCCTTCTTCGTGCTCCCGCGTCTTCCGGTAGCCCTGATAGTATTGCTGATGGTTTGAACCAGTTTATCCGCAAGGTTGTCCACCGCACTTGTTGAGACCATAGGCTGCATCCCTATTCCATGGGCCCACCTACCTAGTACCTTGGCGAAGTCTTCGAGGGCGTCGTCTGTCACTCGTACCGGTTGACCAGTTTTGATAACTGCTATGGCTTTCGAGTTCGGGCGGGGAATGTCTCCTGCAAGCGTTCTGTGGTCCGATGTTGAGTCAAGCTCGGTCGAGACATCTGCAAGGGCACCAGCGTTAGAGCAGACCAGGTCGAGTGTGTTTCCAAGGTCGTGTGTCGGGACGCCCGGTGTGGAAGATAGGTCCATACCGTGCTCGAACATCCACTCGGTGAGCACCTGGCCGTCACCGTGTAGCCTAGTAGCCATTGGCTGCCAGTCGTTGTGAACAGCATTGAAATCTCCACCAATAACTGTAGGCCCAGATGGAGCCCATGATAGCAGCGGCAAAAGGTCTGCTCCAGGAGCGCGGTATACGGAGACAAATGTGACTCCTTCTACCTCTACTGCAGTGAGATCTGGTGATGTCTCGCAGATTGCTTGCTGTTGGCAAAGGATCCCTTTTCGCGTGTAGATGAGGGAGCGTGGCCTTGAAGAGTTAACAGCGACACGGGGAGGCAAATGCCTATCGAATCCGGGATGCGACTTGGTGAGCCAGAAGCCGTCCTTGTGTTTAGTCCAGGGTTCCTGGATGAGTAGGACATCGGTTCCTGAATCCCAAGCGGATTGCAGAATGATGTCCGTAGCCGGGTCTCCTCTGCCCAGATTAGCGCAGAGGAACGAGATTGTTGTTGCCGTTTTTTGAAGCTCGGTTGGGTTGTGGTCCCTTACGGGCATTGAGCAACGTTTGTGTTTTCGTTTTCAGCAGTAGCCTCGGTGGCTTTCTGCTTTGCTTCCATCTCTTTGATAGAAGCATTCCTTTCTTTTTGACCCTGCTCGCGGATCACCGACAGCTGGTCCCTTGTGCGTTGCACCGTCTTCCCACCAGCCCGTGTCGGCCTAGCTATACAGTTAGGCTCAGTTGCAGCATGTGGCCCGTGGCAATTGATGCACCTTGGTACGGCCTGTTTGCACTCAGTAGCTCTGTGCTCAATTGAGCCACAGCGGGTGCAGCGCTCTGCTCGTGAACAAATTTTAGTTGGGTGGTGTCCTCAGCATCGGTTGCATTGCGCAATTTTGAGCTTGCGCTGGAGTTCGTGAAGGCGCCCGCTTTCTTCAAACAGTCTTTCTCCAAGTCTCGGTTTTCCTGTTGCGAAGTGCAACACCCAGTCCGTTGACGGCCTGGCCATGCTAGTAGCGAAAGCACGAGCTGAGGTTGGTCTAACTCCTGTTTTGAGAGCTGCTTCTTCTATTACCATCTCTGGTGTCACTATGGTGGGCCCTTCCAGAGTGTAAAGCTTGTCTGGGATATTCGGTGCCAGGACTGATATCCAGTTGGAGGCGGCTTCCAATTTCATTTCTGAGCTATCTAATATGGCTCCTACTGAGAGAAGTTCACCTCTAGCCCCTTCCCCTTCGGCTTGTATTGCGAACCCTGAGTTCACGACAGTGACCTGTTTGATTGTCGAGTTGGCCAGACGCAGCTTGCTAGCTAGGCTTATTTTAACGAAGTGGGGTGACATACGTCTCCACAGGTGGTCAGGTTTGAGGCGCAAAAATACGCGCTCATCAGGTCGCTGGGGGTTTGTTGCTGGAGCTTTAGGCTTCGGCGCGGAAACGGGCCTCACTGGCACTGGCTTGGGTGTTGAAGTTGGAGCCACTTGGTTTGCTGGCTTGTTTCTTTTTCCCAACACCTCGGTTCAAGATTTCTCTGTGGTGTTGTTGTTGGTTATGTTCGAGCCCTGGTTAGGCTGGAGAGTTGCTGTTGTGGCAGACGGCTTTGATGGTGCCGGTCTGTTCTTTTCTCTGGCAAGGATCAGCACTGGACGTGTAACGCTTACAGGACTTTGTTTTGGAGGCTCTGTGACTTGAGCCGGGTTAGATGTGTTAGTATGGCCGCTTGCAGCCTTTGGGGGAGTGTTGGTGTCTGCTTGAGATGGGTTGCCCCATAGAATTTCCAGTATCTTGCCCTGAAGGGCCAGTAAGTCCTGATCAAAGAGTTTTCGAAGTCTCTTGTCAGTGACTGGTTCCAACAGCTTGCAGAACCCGATGATGAAACGCTCTGCTTGTGCAGAGCGCGTATGGAATATCCTGCCCTGTTTGGCGAGGAATTCGGTCGCGACAATTTGAGGCGACGGAGTTTGTTGGTGGGGCGAGCTTCGATGACTCGCCTCGTAGATTGGCTCTACAAATTGTTGGGTGGGTGGTTGTGATGGCGGTTGTGGCCCATTAAGGACCATTTCGACGTCTTGATGCGTCGAACATTGAGTGGGGAGGGGGGGCCAGGGGCCAGCCTCTGCGGAGGACTGGGGTGGCATGGGTGATTGAGAGATGAATTTGTCAGTAAAATGTAGTAGGTAGAATGCAATGTGATGGATTGCGTCGCGATGTGTCTGTGGCTAATAACTGTGGGGCAGACAGCTGGTCAGACTCTTTTGTGATTTCTAGTTGTTCTGGCGGACAGCTGAGAACCCCCCTTTGTTGCGCCGAAGCGCAAATTCCTCCTCAGCCTCGGCCACCACGCGCCCGAGCCCTTAACACCTCCGCGATCTTGAACTTTTCCCTTCGATTGATTCCCAACTTTGACTCATCTCAGCATCTCCTCATCTCATCCAGGGGTCGTTTTCTTCACTGGAGGCCTAACCCAGTGTTGTAATTAAGGTATGAGTAAGTGTGAGATGTTGAATATTCTAGGGATAGTGCAGAGGGTGGATAAGGATTATCAGAGCTTGGTTATATTGTTCTACATATCACAGTAGTAGATAGGACTTATATACACATATTTGGCACCCGCTATACAGTACATCACTGTCTATGCATGAAGTACTACAATCTTAATTCCATGCAATACTATCCCACATTACTCTATGCCATTGTATAGAGCTGCGCCTCAATAGTCGATCGTAATGATAGCCACAAAGGGCTGTGCAGAACTCGCATAGATGTGTTGTATCCCTGGCACTTGGCAGAGATAAATTTAGAGTAAATGCAATAATCACATCACAACACCCAGTCGCCCACCAAGGCCTCCTCAGTTTGTATTCCCTTTTATTCTTTCATGCAGCATCCCTCTCTCCTTCAGTAGATCTCGTCATCCCAGAAACTTTGTAGAATGTCCACCCCTCTGGCCTTGCCCTGTCGCTGCTGTACCCCTAACTGTGGAGGTCGAAAACGCGACTGAGAGCTCAAGACCGAGGCACCAATGCTACAGCCTTTGTCGAACGCTCTGTTGGTGTGCCGGCGAAATGTCGTACGTATTTCGTCGGTGGCGATTCGTCGCAGGTCGAGTTGTTGGTGCCCTTGGCAGAGGTGAGGATCCATTTAAGGCCGGTATTTCGACCGTACCTTCACAGCGACTGGCAGTTGCGGAGTGTCGGACATCCTCTTGATTCTTAGTTGGATGTATGGGATTGCTTTGGTAGGTGAGGAGATGATTGTGGAGAGGGCCGCGAGATGAGTTTGGCTGGGAATGATTTTCCAGAGGAAAGGAAAAAAGTTCATGAATGTGTCGGTTTTTGTGATACGAACATCAGACAGGTTATAGCCTGTCTGCGGTTTGTATCTGGGGTGTAGATGGGTGATTTCGTTGAGTTGTGTAGTGGTGAAATCTCTGCAAGTTGGATTTTCGACCAAAAATGAGCCAACATCACTCCTCCCGGTCGCCAACTCGACGAAAACTCTCAAATTCACCCTTTTTCGTGACTGAATCCCGGCTCTGGGAGAATATTTCATTCACAGGTTTGTAGAGGACACCACTGACAGGTGTTCAGCCTTCGTCCTCCTGAGTTGGATTGTGCGGTGGTACACCGACGTAGCCGATCTCCCAAGTAGGTTACGGGTAGCTCGGACACCTACCCTCTGTGAGACGGTAAATAGCCAGTTGAAATCCAGCAATACCCACAGACCATTCTTTCATACAATGTTAATAGACACGGAAGATAGAGAAAGCAGACTTGGATAACCATGGGTTCTTCACACGATTCTTTGGGCTGGTTGTGCATGGATAAGGTTATGCTCCGCAATGGTCGGACTCATATTTACCTACAATTGAAACCTGAGTTACAGTGTTCCAAAGGTTGAAACGAGCCATTCTACAATCAGTACATTTCTTGCGATAATACCTACATGAGCCTTATTGTGCAAAACGAGTGTAATTGAAATTTTGTATGAACATTTCGGATAAAGAATTATCCGAATTTCAGTATCCACAAATCAGCTACAACAATCAGTGCATTAACCACCAACACCAAATATCTCCAGACATACAATTGGCTCCGACATACTTTAATCATACACCTTAAGGAGCCCTTTACCCTTAACTACCTCTCCTTTCCAGCCAATTACTAGAGCCTAGACTTGACTTACAGTCATAAGTTCCACCAGACTTGACTGAATTATTAACGAAATTTTCATCTCTTAAAAAAATTTAAAGTTTTCAAAACCTATAGATAGCATGACATCTGAAATTTTAGTATCCAAACGCACTGAGGTTCAGCCTCATGGCATGCGAAAAAATGGTTAATTTATTTAATTTATCTTGATTTAGCTCATAACTTACTAAGATACAGGTAAGCAATGGCATGAACCCAAGACCGCGTTCAGACCACGAGCGGGTAATCAATCCTATGAAAAGAGAGTTGAAGCTCGGAAAGCTATGGCTATAACGAAGGCCAAAGAGAAGGAAATGAAGGAGGAGAAGGAAGATGCAAGACTGGTACATACTTGGTCGTCTATTAGGCTCAAGGATTACTGACAATATTTAGAAAAAGATCGAAGTCCTTCGTGCAAAAAAAGCTGCCAAAGAAGAGAAGGCAAGATATGAAAAGCTGTCAGAGACTATGCACAAGAAAAGGGTCGATAGGTTAAAACGAAGGGAGAAAAGAAATAAAATGTTGAAATCTTGAGGAATTCCATTAAAAACAATTGGAATTAGGCGTATGGCGCTGGAATAAAAATCATTGAGGTGTTTGAATGAGTGTATTGCACGGGCGCATCAAAATTTGTCGTTTCACGGCCTATACTTGTGCAATTTAAGCAAAAAACAGCTTCACAATCAAATTCACATGTCACTTTGTCGCTTCGACTTCGATTACACCTACCAATATATAACACTTTCTTGCACATCAGCATTCCGAAGGTATTCACATCACATCATCAACAAAGTAAGGGACTATTCTACCTAATACAAGTACTACAAAGCTGGGCTTATATGTTGCTTTTGATTTATAAAAGTACAAAAACAAGGTTTTGATTTCACTATGGTTACAGGACCGACGTTCACAGCTAGGAATATATTCGATGCATACCTAACTTGGTTAAACCGCGTTAACCAGTAGTGATGTTAAGCTGCATCCCTTCGATACTGTCGCAAGACAGACCCGCGGGATTGCTATAGGCTATGCCAGCACCTACTTAGGCAAAATATGACACTTAACACTAGTAACCACAAAGATGGCCCTTTCAGGCCGGTTATCAACGCCGTAACTCTCAAGGCCATAACGTTGAGAAATATATAACGAGGTATAGAAACGAGTTGCTTTCGACTTATTCTGTAGACTAGAATAATTAACTGACTGTCAGGCGCAGGCTCAATAGGCGCAAGACTCGAGGCGTAGGAAAGGGCGTAGCATACGAGATACTGAGGAAGGACGCCTCCTGGGAACGCGGAAGGCTTTCTAAAGAAGTGGTAAAGAGGAACGCAGGGAGTTGTTCTAGAAAAAGTGGCCGGAGGTGACAGTGGCTCACTTTGGCTGGTAGAGGATGGGAGTGAGTTGTGATTATAATTATGTAACTATTCCTAAAGACAGAAAACAAAGCGTGAAGAACTCAGTCTCGAAAATGAAAACTACATAACTGTCCTCGTTGGGTATTGAAGCCTAGTGGGGGAGGGCAAGACAGAACACCTGTACACGGTGTCCTCCAGGAACCTGGGAGTGTAATATTCTCTCAGAGCCAAGTTCAGTCAAGTTTAGCAACATCGAATAAGTTGGACCACGAGGCAATGGTTCAAATTACTCCACCACGTCTTTTTTCGCTTCTAACGATTTTGATTCCTACCTTAGTCTCATCAAGTCTACAATTACGACCAAGTGAATCCTCATCTCAATGACTACAACTCTCTTCGACTTTCTCTGGCTTCAGCCGGTCACCAAATACACGCCCACGCCGATATTTACACCCGACGGAGGAAGCAAAGCGTGGCGCACAAATCTGGAGGACAGTTCTTTGGGATAGACGTGAGAGGGATCGAGACAAGTTGATAAGATGATGCAGAAGATGGATGTACTCTCGTCGGGCGTGAATTTTGAGTTTTGGCAAGGAGTTTTTACCAATTGAGCTGTGCGCGTGCCAAGTCTTCGGTTGCGAGAGTGCAGGCGACACTGTAAACACGGCCATTGTTTGTTTTTATTTTTTTTATTATACATTTGGTCCTAAGCTAACGCTATCTTTTCCACATTGGGTCAAGGACCGGTGGAGCCGGCAAGGATCACTGCGTACAGGCCCAACTCATTCCAACCGCATGAACTTCTACTGAAATTGTAGAGGTTAACAGCAAAACTAAAATCAAAAACATAAATCAAAACCTGAAATCAAAACCTGAAATCAAATTTGGAAGAAATACTGTTTGGTTCGGATCCCGCGCTTCTCGCCCGTTCCTTTTCCTGCCACATCTTCCAGGTGACTTTTTCTTATCTCCGCTGAGAGCGAAAGACTAGTTCGCAGATACCCTGAATTCAGCTGGTATCCTGCTATATATTTTGAAGCTTTTTGTAGACTTCATCGAGGGTTGCTGTACCCTCAAACTTCTTCTTCGGATTCCAGGATTCCGAAACCCGATCCCTCGACCATCGAGACATCCTTCGTTGAGGCCATCGTTGCCTCTTCGGCCCTTTTGGCTGCAGCCCTAAATCGAGCCACTTTCGCGAACTCCCCTTGCTGGATCTGGCGGATCCGCGCGAGCTGCTCTTTTGTCACCGGTCCGGACTTGCTGGGTCTGGCTAAGCAGGCCCGGGAATCCGATCGGTGAGGTCCCCCACAGTTTCGACACCGGGTGAGGGCCTTGCACTCTGATTCTGAGTGCATATTAGATCCGCAATTCCAGCAAGCTGGAGCGCGGGAACAACCACGGGTGGCGTGAAATTCAAGACACCGTTTGCATTGTTCGATTTTGCGACGAGGTCGGAAGAGCTTTGCAGCTCCAGAGTCGTCGAAAAGGCGGAATCCAGGTCGAGGAGCGGATTCTCGGGGAAATAGCGCTTGCCAATTTGAGTAGGGCGCCCCTGGTTTGCTAGTCCCATGAGGACGAACCAGAAAGGGAACCAACTGGGTCACTCGCGTGACTTCGTCGGCAACCATCTTTGCCGTCACGGTGATTGGGCCAGCAAGAGTTCGAATTGTCTCCGGGACGGTTGCAATTTGCATGGCAACCAGATTTGATGCTGGTTCCAGTTTGATTCCAGATTCGCTCCGTGATGTGGAGGAATCTAGGAGCTCTGTTCGAGCGAGTTCATCCTTTGCGGTTATTGCAAAGCCGGTCTTTACCCGCTGAACCAACGTGATATTGTTGGCAGCGGTTCCCAGCGCCTGAGACACCGCTAGCCTTACTCCAGCTGGAGAAAGGAGACGGTGGGGATGGAAATAGTCAAGGCGCAGAAAAAGTCGTGAATCGGCTTTTGACCTCGAGTTGGCACTCTTTGCCTTGGGGGCGGGTGGTGCTGCCTTTTTTGTCAATGGCCCAGCGCTGCGGGCTAGGCCTACCCGAGCTACGGTGGCCCAAGTTGTCTTTGGGGCCGGAGCCTGGGTTGTTAGAGGGTTAGGAACCCTTATTTCTGGTGCCCTCGGCGGAAGAGGGTTGGCGGGGCGAGCAGGGAGAACTGGTGGTGTGCTCCCTGGGCCAGATTGTACGAACTGGCCGATGGCTGCTCGAAGGTAGACTTTTATACCGTCTACAAATTCTTTATTTTCGCCGATCGAAAGAGGCGAAAGTGCTGCTTCAACACTGTTTATTGCAGTCGAGCAGATGGCGAGGCGGGCCGTAATTTGCGTCGTACGTCGCTTTTCGGCCTCCATCACGGTTTGCAGCTCTGGTGGAAATTCAATTGCTGATGTAGATGCTACGCCTTTAGATGCTGGCACAGCATTGTTTCCTGCAGATGATTCTGCACGTTCGGCTGTCTTTTCTCGAACAACTTCCTTTCCTTTCCTGGAGCTGCTTGCCAAAGGGGGCAGTTCGATGGGGGTTTTGGTCTTGGGACCATTGTTTTCTGCTCTGATCGGTTCAGAATCAGTCATCTCTTGATCGGGAAGATTTGTGGACTTCCCTGGGACAAAGGCCTCACTCGCAAATAGGCTTGATAATTTTTGCGCGAGGCCAGTAGGTTTTGGACACAATGGTGTCCGTTCAAAGCTGGCTGAAGTTGTCGGCTTTGGGCGATTTTTTCTCACCGGAGGCATTTTAAATACCTCGCGACGGTTAACAATTCGAGAAGTCAAGCACAGAAGTGGTCATAGGAATGGAAAAAGTGAAATAGGGAATTTTCGAATTTTCGAATTTCTCGAATGGTGCGTTTGTTTGTTCATTAACGTGCTAGGTGAAGTAACTACCGTCGCACTCCTACTGGAGCTTGAGCACGAGTGGGGTCGGGCCGGATCAGGTTAACTACCGTAAAGTACAAGTGCCTCGTCCCACCTCAATGACCGGAACCATGCCGAAACGCATCTATGTGTTGAAGCATGACGAGTACAGCAGCCCAGAGTTGAAAACAAAACAAAAGAAAACTTCCACGCAAAGTCCTGCATTACAAAAGAAAAAACTTTGACAATCTCCCTTCCATCGTTCCGCCTCGGCCACCACGCGCCCGAGCCTCGATTCCTATCCCTGCTTCCATGCCAGATCACCTAGGCTTTCGTTCATCACCTCCGAGTCACAGGTATCCCTGCCATCCCCCGGCTAGCCTCCGCGTATATTCCGCTCTCCTGGACATAGTCCCTGAACAGTTGCCACCCGCTTGATCCGAGCATTGTTTCTATAGCTGGCGCCCTTCGCCTTCCGCTTTTCAGCCGCCATGTTGCCAGTGCTTTTCGACACTGGACAAGGTGACCAATTGATTTTTCCCTCCCACACTCGCAGTGAAGTGTAGCGTCAGTGTGGTTGAAGCGGCGATGATAAGCCGCGAAGTCTCCATGTCCGGTTCGAGCGGCTATTAAGCGAGCGTAGACTGCCCTTGGTAGTGCTAGTTCTGGCGGTTTCTTGCGTCGCATCTCGAGTTCGAGGTCTGCATAATGTCTGGGGCGATTCGAATGCCACCAGTCTGTAACCATCTGTCTGGCCAGTTCGCGAGCTTTCCTTCCGGAAGAGGCGAGGGTCATCACCCCATGTGTCGTCCTCGTATCGTCCGACGAGTTAAGCTCTCTTCGAGCGAGCTCATCAGCCATTTCATTTCCTACCAGCCCTTCGTGGCCCGGAATCCATCCTACTTTAACAGGTGCTGCTGCTCTAGCGACCATTTTGCAGAACTTTTGAATCCTCCAGGATGATGAGCTTGTTGTTCCCGTTAGTAAGGCCTGGACAGCTGCAGAATTGTCGAGCAGAATATAGATGGCGCTACGACCACGATCTCGCTTCCTGCTAGTGATTGCTTCAAGAGCAGCTAGAGCTCCATGAACCTCCGCGTCGTAGACCTCCGCATTGGTTATTTTGCCTGAGCCGCTTTGCTCAATTACCCTGCCTGTGCCACTGATAAAAGTCACGAAGGCCCATGACACTTTGTCGGTGGACGCCCCACACGGCCATTGTTTGTTTGTTTGTGTGTGTTTTATTGTACTACTTGAGTCTATGACTATCTAGCACATTGGGCTCCTCTCTGACCCAGGCCACACCTTGTACAGTGCTCCTATCCTCTTTTGTTACTTGAAAGATCATTGATATATTCCCCTTGATGAATAGCCATTCAGCTCATTGTTTACCCGTGGAATTCAGCCACCTTTTCCACGGAACCTTCTACCCAAAAAAAATAAAAATGGTAGCAATGGAAACTGCGTGCGCGGGAAAAAGTCTCAAAAAACCTGCAGCCCCAGCCAGGCGAGGCCTAGACACCGAGACCACATGAGGTGCGCGTATCCATCTATATCTTCCTTCTTTGTAACAGTTGAGGCCGACTTGATCCAATCCACCATCTCCGTATCGGGTGCTGGGTACGCTCCGGAAACTCATCGGATGGCTTTTCCTCCATGATCAAGGGTGGGTGACGAGAAGGGCTCCGACCCTACCATCTGATCTGATCGTGGTTAGCTTCATGATAATGGTGATAGGGGAATGTGTTGAGAGATGAAGACGATACAGACCGCGAAAGCGATTGGGAATCCTCTTCGAAGTGAGGACTTTATTACCCAATCTCGGCTCTGCAGACTCTACAGTGAGAGCTTGAGGTTCGTAGGGGACACCACTGACAGGTGTTGAGAATAGTCCCCCAAACACGGCCATTGCTGGATAGTGCCGTGGTATATCGTCTTGGCCGGTCTACCAAGTAGAGTCTGAATAGCTTGGACATATATCCCGCTCGAGACAGTAGATCGCTGGATCAATTCCAGCAAAACACAACCACATTTCTCGCGACGCTGGTTTGCATGGATGACGAAGGAATGCTTGGATAATCAAAGGGTTTGAAACGCCCCTTTGGTGGGTACTTACGGAGGAAGGTCGACTGTTTGTGTAAGCAAGCATACCTCATAGTGGTATTTGCGAATGAAATCCAGAGTATGAGTGTCTTTAACGTCAAAAGAGTCAACCCACATGTATACATAGCACCGGTCATGTGTCATAGCTCTATAGCTGAATACACATTAAATGATATTTTTAAAAAAAAAAAAGAGAAACACTTTTTCAACGACACTTTTGACTGCCTAACCAACAAAGCCCTTGATTCGACGTAGGCTGAACACCTGTCAGTGGTGTGATCTAAGAACATGAGAGTGAAATATTCTCCAAGAGCCGAGATTCAGCCACGAAAACGGGTGGGATGAATTTTATTTGATGGATCTTCGGCTTGAAGGAGTTAAACTCTGTGTTTTGGTCGAAACATCAGTCAACAGAGATTTCACAACCGCAAGAAAGTCGAACAAAATCTCATCACCACCAATATGGTTAACGAATGGGCTTAGATCTGTCAGGGGGGTCGTATTCAAACAAATTATGTCTCTGAAAATCCTTACATATCTCCGACGAGGCATTTCTCAGTCAATCCCACACCTGCGACCCATCTTTATTCTCGTGACATCACCTACGAACACACGCCCTAGTGAGGAAAGTCATGTTGGAAACGGGACGTGTCCAAAGGAAGAAGAAAAGGGAATAATCACCGAGGGGATTACACAAATCCCCAATGACGAAACCAAATCGACGGTACGACCTGAAGTTGCAAGGCTAGAACAACAATGAGATCTGGGACTACATTTATATTACGGAGTCAATGAGGATACCAAGGGCTTGGGCGCGTGGTTGCCGAGGCTGAGGAGGAATTTGCGCCTCGGCGCGCCAAAAGGGGGTTCTCTAGACGATTGGGCTTGACATGATTCAACTCATGGATCAAGGCTGAGGTGGGACGAGGTAGATGTACTTAATGGTAGTTAACCTGATCCAGCCCGGCCCCAGCCGTACTTAAGCTCCAGTAGGAGTGCAGCGGTAGTCACTTTACCTAGCACGTAAATGAACAAACCAAACCAAACCAAGCCTCAGGTAATATCCGCAAGTAGACATAAAATCGGGGCGTTGATATCTCCTGACTCATGGCTTTGGAACGAACATGTGATAAATTAGCAATTTTTAATCTAAAAAAAGGTGGATTTCGGTATTTATTGGAGTGTATTTTTACACTGGAGAGTACTGTGCGCTTTATGGCTCTGAGTGAGTGTATGTAGTATACAATGTAAAGACCAGTATAATTAGATGATGATGGTAATATTTCTAACTTGGCCGGGTACTTCCCCATTTCCAAATTTATCATGCCCTGCATTACAACTCAATCCTCGTGTCACATTGAACGGACCCAAGAAGCATTACGGTTTTCCTCAAGCCCTCTGTTTTCGATTCTGTCTTGCTGTAAAATTTTGTTACAGTTAAAAATCGCCGGAATATCTGCCATCCGCCTTGCCCTATCATATCGCTTATCATAGGTCGTGTTTCCTTCGTTTCTATCCGCCACTTCTGGACAGCCAGGCGGGACTCTGCAACATGCCATGGCCGCTTTTCTCCCCTGCATTTGCAGAGCACTTCTTCTTTATAACTTTGGAATCGTCTGTAATGACTCGCAAAGTCTCCATGCCCAATCCTTGCTGCAATAAGTCGATGATATGCCCATCGAGGTAGAGATAACTACGAACGGCATTTTCTTCGCATCAGTAAGTCTAGATCTTCATACCTGTCCGCTCGATTCAACGCCGCAAATATCAGTACTTTATGAGATTCTACCTTAATGCACATTGGGCTCGGTATTCTTCCTTCCCTAGCTTTTGATGCAAGGGCTTTCAGTGCTATAGCTCCGGTATTTTGGTGGGATGGTGCGACGGCACATCATTTGAGCCAGTCTCCAGCGCTACGTGTGGGTAACCTGAATACCAGGCCTCAGTTGGAAAGAGGGATGTATAAATCTTAACCAACGGATATCTATCTCATTTCTATTGTACTTGGATAGCTATGGAAACTGTATTTTGGTTTTGGTGCATACTCACGGAAGGTGGCTCGTCTATTCTGTGCAATCCAATGTCCCTTAATGAAAGTGAAAGGTTCTCTTTTTTTTACCATACGGGCCTGGGGCTGTCAAACAAATTGATATCCTCTCTCACAGGGTCCACATCTTACACAGTGCTCCTATCATCTTTTTTTACTTCAAAGATCATTAATATATTGCCCGTGATTAATAGCCATCCAGCTCAGTGTTTACCGGTGGAATTCAGCCACCTTCTCCACAGAACCTTCTACCCAAATAAAAATGGTAGCAATGGAAACTGCGTGCGCGGGAAATAGTCTCAAAAAAACCTGTAGCTTCAGCCAGGCGAGGCCTAGACACCGGGACCACATGAGGTGTGCGTATTTATCCATATATCTCCTCTCTGTAATAATAGTGACTATTTTAATCCAATCCACAATCGCCATATCGGGTACTGGGTACGCTCCGGAAACCCATCGTATAGCTTCTCATACACAGCCAAGGGTGAACGATGAGTAGGAATTTAAACCTTCCATTTGATGTCATCGTCGTTAGCTTGATGGCAATGGTTCTGATGGTTGTGCCGAAGGGTGAAGTCCACGTAGACCACAAAAGTGATTGGGAATTCCCATGGAATTGAGGGCAAAGGTGCAGCTCAGACTCAGCCCTACAGACTATAAAGTGAGAGATTTCATGCCATTGTATATACCTAGAAGTGGTATTTACGAACGAAATCCAGAGTGTAAGTGTCTGCGAGGTCAAAAGAGGCATGCACCGTACAAATATGACATTGAACATGTGTCTTATCTATGAGGTTTCTAGGCGCGCGTTGTGTACCTTGTAAATGGTGGGTAGGTGTGTAAGAATGAAATGGTATCACACGGTGTCTCGTGGCTCCCAACTACAATGAATCTTATGTAGAGCTTCAGACTGATACGTGAATTCTATCTCCCATAATTGTAGGATATCTGTGCGCTTATATACATGAATAATCTATTCCCCCTCAGCTCCAGTGAGATCTGCTCTTGTGACTGTGCGATCTGATCGTCAGAGATCATAAGGTACTAGCATTTTGTCTTTGTGCCATACGTCCAAAATCTGATCAGCCCGTGATATTGTAGATCTTTTCAGGATCCACATCTAAACGTTTGAAAACGCATGGAATATTTTTGAAGAATGAAGAATTGAATTATAAATTACAGATGTGTGGCGGCTGAAAATGCACTTTAGTCGTCTAAACCAACACTAGTTTATGACAAGTAAGATATACGAGGTTGTAAACCGATAGACGCATAGAACTCCACTATAATGATCATTAGCTGTCTGCACTCCTACTCTCTGCAAGTTGAAAACAGAATAATCCAGGGCCCACCCAGCACGTACCTGTACTCAATCTCTTGATAAACAACTACATCGGGCCAACTCAAGGATCGAAGATGAGTGCCCCTGTTGAACAAAGGGTTCACGTACCAATTGATGACCCGAATGCTGATACTGAGTGGTAAGTTTCACAAACCGTATTCCCGCAAGACTGAAGTAGTGAGAAATTTCAGGAACGATATTCTTCGTAAACATGGAGTCATACCCGAGAAACCACCGTCACCCACGCCTTTTATAGAGGAGGCTATCTTAGAGAGTCAACGCCTTGCGCAAGAAAAGAGCCTACAGTGCAAAGATTTAGACGAGCTAGATGAACTGGAGGACCTGATGGACGAAAGTATACTGCAAGAATATCGAAAAAAGCGTATCGAGCAGCTAGCATTGCTTCGTAAAAAATCAATTCACGGCACTGTATATCCTATTAACAAGCAAGAATATACACGCGAAGTAACTGATGCCAGTCTCAAAACACCGGTACTGGTACTTCTGACATCCGCGAACACCGAAAGTCGAGCCGTCATGGAAATTTGGCCTCAAATAGCGAGTGAATACGGAGAGGTCAAATTTTGCCAAATAAGAGCGGATATGGCGATAGAGGGCTACCCTGATCGCAACTGCCCTACAATCATTATCTACAAAGACGGGAACATAGTTCGACAGGTTGTGGCATTGACTCACCTTGGAGGAGTCAAGGTGGAAAAGCGAGAGATTGAAAATTTGTTAAGGGAAGAAGGTATAGTCAAAGATGATGATTTAAGGACATCGAAAAATCAGGAAAGGAGTGAGGAAGACTGAGAACTGTCAAATTTAAAATTGCTTCACTTTTAATTTAAACATCATGGATCCGAGATGGTTACGTTTGAATTAAAGTGTGGCTCATTTATTAGGCGCAAGCTCGTGCTTATATTATCACTTTATGTGCAGGAGAGTTTGCACCTTAAGCGGGAAGAAGATTCTACGCCCATCAGCTGTATCCCTCGCAATCTTCCAGCTCTCATTGTAAAGTCTACAGAGCCGAGATTGAGTTAAATATTGGCCAGGAAGGCTTCTGAACTTTCTAATTCTACGGTATAATCTACCATCCAAGATGACACAAAGAAGTTACGCTGGGATAAACTACGGCACATATGTTCTGTCGAATCTTTTTCGAAAATTAGATATCATCCCAATTTATCCCGAGGCGCCGATAACATAAAAAGTTGAAGAGACGCCATTATGGTAACAAGTGGCCTCCATTATTATTTACAAGTCTGCAGCGCTCGGATACTTGAGCATTCCGAATAGCTCTGAAGGACAGTTACATCATCAATTTTAGTTGTGATATCGGTATTAGAAGAGCCCCGCATCCATTGTTATTTTCAGTTTTTCTGGCGGCCAAAACCCTGCAGATGGCCTTCGTTTCGTTGGTTAGAGAGGAAATGTAATGAAGAGCAAAGCCCTCATTTATACGCATGATTGAATTAAGAACTATGTGGAGAGATACTGTCGGAAGTTAGCCATACAGGATTTAAAGGAGCTACTAGAATGAATCAAAGAATTATATATCATGTTAAATCATCGACTGAAATAGAAGGATATTGTTAAAAAATCACACACGCTCCATCTTTCTGAGTAGACGAACATGAGTGGATGGAGCTTCGTCAGCTGAGTAACCACTAAGCACATAAGCTTTCACTTACCCATATTCCCCACTAATCGAGACTTGGCTTAATATTTTAAATTACGTGGGAGCAAACTGTCCAGAGAATCCCGCGTTAAAGTGATGAAGCAGAACCCATTTCAGTCTCATTCAATACTTGACAAAGCTTTCAAAGCTATCTTTATATCTGGATCGATCGGACTTTCATATCCTAACACTTTCTGGTTGTGACTATGAGTTTTCGTCATCAGGAAATATCTAAAATCCAGCATCATAACTAGATCATCTCTATAAATTCCATTTTTACTCCATTTTTCCACAACCTATCACCTTATGAGTTTACTCGCTTGGGCATACGTTGATAGATGGTAATTTTATTATAAGAATAGATAGCATGTCGAGTTTTCTGCGAGAAATTTTTCTCGCAAATAATCGGGTTATTAGATATATCTATTGATGAAATTCGATCCCCTGTTAGTCCTAAGTCCTTTTAGTCGCCAACTGGCTGCAGTTAAAGTTTCCACGCATTTTCTGCACTAGCGTAATATTTGTGAGCTAGATCTGTATCCCCGGGTCAAGTGATTTTCATGTACAATAGAGCAAGTTCAGAATAATATCAGTTAGTAAATGATATCTAGATATAGGATATTTATTTTTTCTCGCTGAATACATGAAGCATGGTAATTATCAACGGCGACCATAACAATATGTATTACTGAGCAACCGCTTCCAAACCGCAACATTTGTAACTCCATAGCTAGCTAGCCACCAGACTCCATCCCTAACGTACTGGCGCATAAATTACAACCGCGAAGGATTAATCCCGTAGCATCTTGTAATCAGATTTTCAATTACTAATCCCCAAAGCCGACCGTCCATCTGATGAAATCCTTGTCAGTGATTGGGTTCTAGATTTAAGTGACCGTCACATATCGAGGCCCGCAAAGGACTATATCATTTAGCTTCTGACTTTTAACTTCCTATCTTAAGAACGTAAATAGCATCAAATCTACGGGCAAATTGGTCACCTTCGTGGTTATGAGCGGCAGGATAATTCCAGCATAGTATGATTGATGGAGCCTATACCTAAGACTCCAATGAAAGCTTTATTCTTGAATAGTTGTTGCAACCAGCAGCTGTGCCTCCTAGTGGTGTTCTAGAATAAATTATTGTTGGAGATATCGTACAATAAAATGGGCGCAATATTCATGGAAAGAAAGAAGTTGACTAAAAGAGTGCCATGTTAGGGTTACAGCTAATTTACTCAAAGGTGTGCGCTGTAATTACAATTGTGGCACAACCTAGATACAGAATACCACCATTAATCTCTTGTGACCACGCCATACAGCTGATCACGTATCCAATAGGTAGCCTGAAGCACGACCATGTTACTCATTCCAACCTCTTAATTACACACCAGATAGTGTCGGGAACCTAGAAGGAATGGAGGGCCCGTGCGTCTATGACACTCTGAGTATCCATTTCCAACACATGCAGATTGGGGTTATCTTTTTAAATCGGCAGAGTCATTTCTTTTATAATTTCATTTAATTGTCCTGTTTGAGTCTATGGCTATGTAAGACATGCAGGCAGCAGAGTCATTTAACGTATACATAACATTTTGATACTCTGTCTTAGCGGAGTACCTAGGTGTACATGTTTGTTTTGAGAAAAACTCCCATTATTCTTTGTATGACAGATTATGTAATATCATCTAGAGCAAGCTAGAATGAGGTGACAGTCCAAGTTTTTCTATAAGCTACAAGCTGTTAAATTAGATGGTTCACTAGTGATCGTCAGTTACACTTTACCCTTTACAATCGAATATTGTTAGCTCGGTAATTTTTAATTGATAATTGACAAGATCAATATTTTGACCATAAGGAACTCCAGCAGGACTGCTAGTTTAAAGCTATTCAGAAAGCTGACCGGTGAGTGATTGATGGAAAGGGATATTGTATTTTTTAAACAACTCCCATTCGAATATTAATTACCCGCTGAACAGCTTCTTGCACATTGGTGGCAAGCATGTTTGGTGTACACTTTGGTACCGAATCTTTATTGTATACACCAGTAGAGACCAGAATACTTCGCCAATCTATCCCACGCCTGCTCTGGTATGTATTCGCTCCTTGTATGTCAGTCAACTCATTGTCGCCGACAAACCAAACTTGTTTAAGCGGTGGAGCTTGGGACCCAAGGAGCCTTAAGCGATGTTGGTAAAGAAAGTTTTCAGCATAATCAAACGTTATTGTATGAGGCTTTCCTACAACTGTCTTAGATAGTGTTGCATTATTTGTTGTAGCATTCCAAACTCCATTAAAAGCGGCTACAAATCCACCTTGACCGAGCCTTGGTAAGTGATATGACGTAGCCCAAAACAAGTCTGGGTTTGAAAAGAATAGAAGAGGTTGCTTATCTTGCTGCCACCCATTATTAGGTAGGGAGCTGTCACCATTTTTTTCCGAATAAGTACCGAGAAAACCTTCTTTGGAGAGGAGAAGGTCTAGGATAATCTGTGTGTCTAGAGCCCAATCTCTTGGATCATTGAAGACAAAGATTGCATCAATCTTAAGAGAGCTCGACAGATCATCAACATTTATTGGCACAGGAAGTGGCTTGTGATTTTGTTTATAATAATCCATAAACACTTGTTTGAATGGCCAAATTTTTGGATGTGCCATTAGGATATCAGCGGGCGTTACGACATTTTTAAAGCCATAATTCAGTGCAACCTTACGGCATCGATCTTCATGGCCACCCGTAACTAGAACTGTTTTGTTCTCTAGAGGTTGTTGTTGCCCAGTTCCATGGACAAGCTCTTTGAATGGAGTATGAGATTGGACAAAATTCTCCTCCGGAATATCGATGTCTAGTTTTTCACTTAGTTCGGCTACACGATCTTTCTCAGTCTTTCCGCCACCATTTGTCACCAATACAAAGGGAATCTCGAGCTTTTGAAGAAGTTTAAGAGTATCCGATGCGCCTGGAATCGGGACAGATTCTCTAAGTAAGACTCCGTCAATGCTATACTAGAGTTAGTAAATTAATACATTTTTGTTAATGGCTCTTTACTCAAAACCAAACGCAATGTCTCTACAATAACTGCGCATATGCGTTACATTTTCAGATTCAACTCTTTCCGATTCTGCTGGTGAAAGAATACTATGAGAGCGGGTTGGCACAGATCTTGACACGAGTGGGATTTTAAAAACCACCGGTACCAAGTTATTTTTAAATGGAAATAACCTTGCAGCTGTCATGATCATTGATTTGTGGTTAAGTATTTCAATTGACGATGTCGCTCTCTAATCTAATTCAAGATACAATGCAGACCTAATGGAGCACGTGTTTGTTCGATAAAGCCTGGGGCATATACTTCAATAACAATCTCTCATGTTAATTGCGAGAATAACATTTGAATGTGTATCTAGCAATCATATGTAAATTAGAGCCTAATTTTCAATTCATCGTGTCCTAAGAGATATTATCATATCGTTATGGGAAATGAATCTTATCACGCTTCCTTACATCTGGCCTATTTCATTATACTCAAACTATCCATCCGATAATTATCACTGTTGACAACAAAATTTAGTTTTTTAGATGAGTTATGTACAGAGATTGAAAAATTCTGGGCTCATGCCGGTGCTGAGTTTAGTTCAATTTCGCAATACTGTGGAAGTTGGCCAACGAGGCTATAATTCAAGGCTTCCGACCATCTCAGGGTTTTCACATCCAATGAGATCGATTACTACCGAAGTCACATCACATCTACACATACTACTTCGTACAATCTAATTACAATAGCAAGTCGTCTCGTCGGCTCCATCTCTGGCCTCTTAATACAAGCTTCCGACAATACGACTATCCGTATGAGGACTCAAATTGTGGCGCAGAAATCGGGGAAGCAGATCTATGGAATGAACGTTGGATATTTTGACACAATTAGAGATTTCAACGCTTAAGACAGGTCACAACATCGAAAGAGCTTCTTGATGTTGAAAGTGGTGCGCGCCACAATCTCATACTGGAGACTGAAAACTATGCTCCAAACCCAGCCATGATCTGCTGGTACAATAGTACATTATGCGGGCAGGAATTTCCAAAGAGTGTAAGTAGCTTGGACACCTAATCAATTAGACACAGAATGCTGTTTCTTCGATTCTAGCGGGACCCCATCCAACCTCTCACGGAGCTGGTGTACATGAAAACGATATTTTTTTTGAAAATATTTCTTGGTGGATTTTAATTAGGACAGCCAACAGTTCTGGATTCTAATATATTCCCTATGGCGGTATATGCGCATGAGAACCATAGTATCAAAACCTCTGATACAAATAGAGTCATTTATATGTACACAAGACACTGATCATACGTCATAGCTTCTTAGCTGAATAAGTGTTCAAGGGAAACCCCCTAAAACGTATCCCAACAACGCCAGTGGCTACCTTACAAAAAATAATTCCTTTCATTACACTTTGCAATTAGACCTGAATGGTTAACTTCCTCCTAAATCTGCGATGGTACCCAATTTCTTTCCAGCCAGTGTCGCTGTCCGAGCTGGCTTAATTCCACTTGAGTGTACTGAGCGCTTTAGTGCTGTGTTAACATTGAAGGAGCTCCTCTCTCCTGCTCCGTATGAGTCGATCGCAAATAAAGTGATGAAGTAGAGTGCGAAAAATCGAATTATTGTATCCATCCAACCTAGTGTGATAAAAGATGATGCGGGTGTTGTCTTCGGTCTACTGGAGTCTCCCAATGTTCGTCCGACTGAGCTGTACATTGGAGCTGCAGGACCAGCTTGCGTGACGGCGGCCTCAACTGCATTTGTCAATTGGCGAGGGTCTGCTCCACGGATTGTCTTGGTGACAGAGCCCGACTTGAACAACATGAATGTAGGCATGCTATAAAATGTTAGTCTTCTTCACGCGGCCTAGAAGTGCTTACGCTGTGACTCCATAACGTTGCGAAATTTCCGGTGAAGTTTCCACATTGACTTTAACAAAAGTGATCTTGTTGGGCCTTGTATACTTGATGGCCAAAGATTGGTAGGTAGGATAAATAGCCTTGCATGGTGAACACCAGTCGGCATAAACTGTATTGTTAGCAGAGCCTAGTAAGTTGAAACAATCTTACAATCTACAATGACTATAGAAGAAGAGCTCAGTATTTTTTCAAATTGTGCAGACGAAGTGATACTGACGGACATCTTCGAGATCGAGTGAAGTCTGATTATCCTATCAACTGAGATGGTGAAGGCGGAACGATACCTACATATGTGACGCACAGACTTCATCATATTCTGCCATGAATAATTGGCGACCGCCGGAAAATCCTTATTACATTTTCAGCCAAAATGAGTAGGGAATACCAAAATGCAAAGGTGAGAGATGACTTCTCGCTTTTGATTATCCCCTAAAATAAATCAGAAGCGAAAACGTGTTTATTCAAAAGAGAATGAGGCGGTTGAACCAACCATCGTTGTCGATACGTGCAAGCCCACAGCTATATATCAACCGACAAAGGGCAGAGAATGGACAGTAACTGTAGCGCTGCCAGGAAGTATAATCGCCAAGTAAGTTCATAAATCTTACTCGAATACCGCTTACTTAAAAAGCGCCCAGTCTCTTGAACAAAAAACATTCTTGGCTGGTAACATTGCGAGAGCTCTCGCCGTTTTTTGTGTGGACGAAGTTGTAATTTTTTCGGATGGAAACTCTCATGGAAATGTAGCAAATTTTCATGCAAATCGGTCTCAATTTTCTAATAATCCAGCCGATCTAGTTCAACAAAATTATACTGGAGTATCAGATCCGGATCATTTTCTCGTGCACCTTTTAAGTTACCTAGAGACACCTCCACATCTCAGAAAACAATTTTTTCCATTACATCCAAACCTTCGAATTGCTGGGACTCTTCCTAGCTTGGATCTCCCACACCATCTCAAAGCAGACGAATGGTGTTTGTATCGGGAGGGAGTCACACTTCCAGGTTCTGATAAACATGGGACATTTGTAGAAGCTGGATTGAGAGTTCCCGTCACTATTGAAGAGCAATTACCAGCTAAAACTAGGGTCACTCTAAAATTTAGGAATGGTGCTGAAGAGGATAATAAAAATGCGAAAATCGACACTGTATTTGCCGACCCAGTTAGCCCGTTTGAACCCCGAGATGAAAGTGGCTATTACTGGGGCTACCAAATAAGGCGTGCAGACTCATTAAGCAGTGTGTTCACTGAGTGCACCTACACCGGCGGCTACGATATCTCAATTGGGACCTCAGAGCGCGGATCTAACCTTGAGAGCTTGTACACTAATACCGGAAATCAGATAGGCGAATTCAAACATTTATTATTAGTCTTCGGCGGCGTCGCTGGACTCGAAGTCGCCGTCAGAAACGACCAAGAATTACAGAAACTTGAGGTTGTAGAAGCTAAGGATGTTTTTGATCATTGGATCAACATCTGTCCGGGACAGGGTAGCAGAACTATTCGAACTGAAGAAGCCTTGTGGATTGGCTTGACTGGATGTAAAAGGCTTGTAAATTTAAACGAAAACGTTTCATGAATAACTTGGCAAACTCTTCGAAAAATTTCACAGCTCGTAGGCCAGGACGTAATTTCCCAATAAAATTATGCAGCTGATAGATCTGAGAAAATAAAGACAGAGTATGGGATGAAGAAGACTGTATGTGTGATGAGATATCAAAGAAAGTACAAAGACAGTAATGAATACATAAATCATGGCTATTCCCATGACAATTATATTCATCAATACCTTTGCTGTTTTTGTTTGATGTCGTGGCCAAGATTAACGATGTAAACTTAGTAAGATCTTTTGCATACTGTCAGTCCTTGGGCCTGTCTCTCCAGTCGGTATGATAAGGTGTGATAGCTGGTCAGCTCGAAATGGCCCGAAGCCTAGGCTAGCTGACGCAGATCAACAGCGGAAAGCTGGGTGTAACTCTTTAAAGGCAGCAAGCGCTTAAACTAGGCATGGCGACTGCCTGAAAAACATTGGAGATTGGGGAGTTTTTTTTTGCATAAGATTTTAATTTCGTATGCAGCTATCTAACTATGACACAATATCAAAGAATAGTAAATAATAGATGGTTCAATATAAAGGAAGAGCACTCATGCCTCGGATGTCATTTGCAAGTTCCACTGCGAAGTTATGGTAGCTTTTTCTTCACCCCAAGTCAACCCTCATCCGTGAATTGGAGATTGGTTGTCGCGCCTGAATTATACGGTTTGAGGCAGAGACGCCCTAAAGGATGTTATGTCTCAATATGACTATTACTCGGTATAATGATAGTAGTATAATAAACATCACTCACTGAGTGGGCCAAGCAGAAACAAACTCAGAAGCCTCAGCAGTTAGCAACAGCAGATTCCGAAACTTGGAGATCAGCCAAATTTTACTAAAGTAGAGAGCCTGGACGGCAAAACCTGAGTTTTCAAGGCTCACCATTCTTCCTACATTGTAACCTGACAAGGGCCTAAAGCAGTTTGGCAATGCAAATACGAAGTGAGCACATGGGGCTTAACTCGTATCTACACAGAAGAAAAGTACCCGGAGTATTAAGTCCAGGTTGCCCATGTGGCTACCAATCACAGAACTCCAAACATATGATTATGTCCTGTCCCCGATGGTCAAATGGTAGAGCTGAGATCTGGAGACAAGCCAAAGATCGATCCTACGAAGCGATGGTGAACAATCTTGGAGATATAAAAAGGATAACGCAGTGGATCCTTAACCATGATTGGATAGAGCAATTCCAGATGACAAAGGCAGTCGAAATGCTGCAGAGGGAAATGAACAGGTCATGCCTTTCTTGAGGCCGATAAAGCTGATGTGATTGGGTTATATGGATGGCACTATAGTGTAACTGCGCTTCCTGAAGAAAATATGTGAGAACTATAGACAACAAGTAGAAAGGTGTGGGAGGTTTTCACCATAAAGGTTTCCTCCCGGATAAACATTATAGATTGTAGACACCTGCACAGGCCCATAGGGCGCAAAATCAGGATAATGAAATCAAATTCAATCACTCACTCAGTATAATGACTCGTAGTTGTGGCTACACCATTGTACCACAAACGCTGGCCCGAAATGTAGATGCCTTATCATATCAGGTGCTGATACTTGGTCGAGCCACACTAGGCTGTACAGCTGTTGTTGTTGTTGTTTTATTCAAGTCCTAAGCTTAAGCTCCAAATCCACTATGAGTACAGGACCGATGTTCACAGCCAGAACTACATCTAAGACATACCCAGCTTGATTCCACCGCATGAACCACCACAAAACCAGCAGTAAGTTAAAAATATGCGCCGACGCGAACCCCTTTTCCCAAAATTGACAAAAGAAAAAGATAAATTGCAAATAAGTTAGAATGGGAAGCAATACTCCTCGCCTCGATTCCCATTTTGTCAGGTTTAGTTTCCTGACGAGTTATATTCGATCTCCACTGAGAGTAGGAGATGGATGCACAGGAGAATACCCAAAACAATTGGTATCCTGTGCAAATTGTTTGAAGCTCTCGAAGCACTTAGGCCCGAGTAGCTTGTGTAAGAAGGCATTGTGTGACAATGACACTCTTATTCGACGCGTGATGTTTGCGTTGATTTGACAATGTATGAAGTGGGTAGGGGTGGTTTCCTCCCCACAGATGCACTCTGTAATAGCGTGCGGATTGTTGAAGCGACGATGGTACGCCGCGAAATTGCCGTGGCCCGTACGGGCTGCAATGAGATGTCGTAACTGTAGCCTGGAAAGCCCCAGTTCTGGTGGTTTGCGACGGCGCATGAGCAAATCTAGCTCACGATACCGTGACGGGCAAGTTTCATTCCACCAGCTGTCGAGCAAAGTCTGTCGCTGTCGATGCAATTTTTGGTGTAAAAATGCTGTCGTGGTGGTTGCTGGCTCAGTTTCCATGTATTCCCGAGTGTCCGGGTACCCACTTTATTCTTACCTGAGCCAGCCTAGATAACTCACGAAACTTTCGTACTTCCTCGTGGCTGGTCGAGGACCTGCCCGTGCTCAGTGCATTTATTGCATGTCGACTATCCATCAACACATTAATGCACTGCGTCGTTCCCTTCGCCAGGTACTCCTTCCCTCTTAGGTGACCCAACGCTGCTTTAAGAGCTTCCTGTGCCCCCATAATCTCTGCATCTAAAGCCTCTCCACCGCGCTTTATGCCACTTCCTTTTTGAAAAGTTTTCCCATCCAGCTTTAGGACAAACCCCCAAGCTGAGCGTCCCTTTCCCTCCGATGCTCCGTCCGAGTAAGCACAGATTTCTGACTTTGGCACATTAGTGATCCAAAGTTTACAGGCTTCTACTTGGTCTTTTTTCGAACCAACCTTCGAACTCGGCCGCGATTGATAAAATGGTGAGGCAAGAGGTTCTGCGGTCTCTGCCTCTGGTAGCTGTCTATAAGCACGCTGAGCCCGTGACATTTGAATTTCAGGACGCGCAGATTTTCGATTGTGCTTCTTATATTTTCGCGTACCGACATTTGGGCAAACTGCAGCACAGATCCTGAGCGGATGGCGGTCGTCAAGTGTTTACATTCTGGCAGAGAGGCGAATTCGGTTTCCTTCGAGAATGATTTTCCCGGTTGGAATTCCCCCTTCTCTATGAAGTACGGCGTTGGGGGTTGTCCTCATTACCGGTTGTGCTGACCTAAGACCCATTAAGACAGCCTTATCAATCATACTACATAGGCCAGCAGTGGGCGGTGTCACCATCCCTCGTACTGTTGGGCGTCTAAGGCCAGGCCACCAGACGTCAGCTCCGTACGTTGCGATTGGGACGATACATGTGTCGATCGCTTTAACCAACGCCCCAGGAGCGGCTCCTCGGTAGGCTGTATTGAAGCGACGCATGTGCTGTGCAATTTTCAACGCTTTGCCACACCAAGTTGTGACGTTGTGTTTGAAGTTTAGTCGAGGATCGAGGTACACACCAAGCCAGCGGACATTTCTCGACGGTTCTATGAGGGTTCCGTTGACATAAATTCCAATCGATGTTTCGCGGTATCGTCCGGGGAATTGTACGACTTCGGACTTGTCTGTATCGAAAGCGACGGCATTATTTCGAGCCCAGTCTAGTAGGTTATTAATCTCGTCCTGTGCTGCGGCTGCAGACTCTGCAATCGTCCGGCCAAATCCAAGGATACCAATATCGTCGGCGTAGCTAAACCTCAGACCCGGGGTTCTACTTCGCATGGGCTCTGCCATATATAAAAGGAAGAGAAGTGGCGAGATCGGTGAGCCCTGTGGAACTCCGCACACTAGCTCTCCCTTGGCAGTGACTCCCCCAGAGTATCGCACTTGAACCATCCAATTGGCGAGGAAGGAGCTAGTCCATTTGAGAATAGATTCCGGCCATCCCTGCTCCTGCATCCTCCTCACTAATCGATTATGGAGTACCGCGTCGAATGCTCCTTGAACGTCCAACGTTACAAAAGTAGCTGCCCATCCTTGTGAATTTGCCTCTTCGATGTCGTGGACCACACATGAGACCAGATCCGTTGCTGAGAGCTTCGGCAGTGCACCAAACTGTTACTGGCCGACTACATCATGGATTACTGCAAGGTGTGCCATCCGCTTAGCTAAGAGCCTTTCTAACCCTTTTCCCAAGCATGAGAGAAGAGCAATTGGTCTCCAACCCTTGATTGTTGTTGGGTCTCTATCGTTCTTTTGAAGGAGGACAACTTCAGCTAATTTGAAGCACTGTGGATGGGTGCCAAGCAGAATGCAAGCTCGGAACAGTTGGGAAATCCAAGGCCCGATTGTATTCCAACACGCCTCCAGCAGGTTTACGGAGACTCCGTCTGCTCCTGGGGCCGTATTTCCGCAACCAATGGTGCAGGCTCGAACCTCTTCATCTGTTACGTCCTCTTCCCATGGTATCCGACTGCTGCTCGCGACTGTAGATGGAGACAAGTCGTCTGATGCCTGAAATCGTGCCAGGAGGGGGTCGCGAAGGATCGTGGCCCGTTTTAATGGATCTGTTATCAACGTCCCATTATGGTTCAGTGGCGGAGGGATACTAGCCTGTCTAGGGTTATCTATTCTCATTAGCTTGAATACATCAGTCGGCGTAGTGATTGATTTGATCTGTTGGGTTTTGGACTCCTTTTTCGAGGTCTTCACAACTGATCGGAGCTTTTTCACCCAGAGTGCCCGTTGGCTAGGAGTTATCGCGCTTTTATACTCAGCAAAGGCTGCCTTGAACTCTGGGGTCCACCACGGAGCAGATCTGCAGCAGCGGGCTTTTGGTCGTGTTCCTACTGCATTGATTGCATTAGTGAGATGGAAACAAATTTCCTCGGCATACTCTTCAACCCTCTCGATTGTGTCAAGAACTAGTGGTGGTCGAACCCACTGTGCAATTACCTTGGCGTATCTGGGTAGCTTATCCTTTGTTACTCGGAGTTTTGCCTTTTCGGGTCTCATCACTGAGTTGCAAACTGGAATTTGTCCTCGGATAGGGAAGTGATCGCTGGTGACACATCCACCACGATCTACCCAAGCACAGACGCCGTCGATATTACTCCAA